GGATCGATGGGGGACCGCTGGCCGACTGCACACGACCCACGTGCGCGCGGAACGAGCACCAGGCAGCTTCGGTGCTGTTTTGCGGGAGGGCCGACGTCATCGGGATCTTGGTGCCCGCTGACTTCCGCTTCCGGTTTCTGCGGTGCAGCGTCCACCTCGGCGGGGCTTTCGAATTGAATTGAATTGAAGTTTATCGGGATTTTCACGGCGCCAAGTCCGGTAGGCAAGTCGAGATAAAAGACATTTCTGCCTGGACGATCCCGTAGTTCGCAGCAGGTATACGTGCAATTGCAGAAATATACAGATACATGCAGGAAAGAATATATATGTATATATATATACATACATACATCTGGCACATTCGTGGGTATTGTAAATGTACACATTTCTCTATAAGACAAAAGCAGTAGAGAATGTTAGAACATGCTAAAAAATCGTACTTTTTTCAAAATCATATGGAGGTTGATACTAGAGTGTTTAAATCCCGTGAATCTGAATATAATGTTCGTTTTTTTTTTTTTTTGAAAATGTAGCTAAACGCGAGAAAACACGAAAAACCTCCGACCAGTCGTGACGTTATAAAGGGGTTTTCCGGCCGCCAAGCGCGTGTCGCTTGTTGTCAGGTGTATTCCCGCGCACTGGTGACAGTCGTGGCGTCTTTTTCTGCCTTTTTCAAAAATAGCCAGAGTGCGCGTGCATAGCTCTTTTAAAAGGCGCTGAAGATGCGTGAGAGCAGAGATTCCGAAAACTCTGTATATGACGTCACACTCCGTGAAGGAGGGCCTCCAACAGTTCTTTTGAAAATGATTTCCTGCACACCCCAACACACACACACACACAAATATTTTTGGAGATTTTGGAGGTTAAATGAAGATGCATGATTTAAGGACTTTTCCTTTAATTCAATACCGCTTCCGCTTCATGGGAGACAAAACGTGTCAAGTCATGCTCAATCGATGATTTCTAAATTCACAATAATTATTGACGAACGGTTATTGTCTAGCCTTTTTGATTTCGTGGACATATCGTTGCCAACCCGGCAGGGCGCCAAAATCCGGAGGCAAAAATTTTTCGAGGACTGAAATGAGCTATCGTAGAGCGCCGGAGATTTATTTTGGCTAATTTCGAAAGAGGTGCCGCGGCTCCTCGCGGTGCTATGATAGGAAAGGGCGCAGGAACGAATGTGGTTCGAGCTAAAATTTGAGATTTATTTAATGATTAATAGATTGCCAAGCGTTCGCTCCGGCCGCTGGTCATGCCCTGGTTTTGTGGAGAGTGGAGACGTCTTCCCTGTGTTCGTGTTGTCCTCCTCTCCGGCAGCAGGACCCCCTCGGGGAAGGGGAGGGGATGGGGGTTCTTTTATCTTGCCACGCAGCTGGAGACTTCGCCTCGGGTGGTGTCGGGTATCCCAGGTTCGTGTCGGATCCGCGGTTCAGGAGTCCGACTTGCGTGGAAAATATGTGCCGTGAATAGAAAAGCCAATACGGGGGGAGATTTACAGTTTTTGTCATGGTATAAAAATTGCGCATGCATTGCGGGTCTCCAAAATACGTAATTCGAGACAGTGACGTCCCTGTAAAAATGGCTGCTGCTTAGAAATATGTGGATTATCTGGTTATCTGAAAACTGGCAGAAATATTCGTGCGCAAAAAGAAGAAGAAAGAATAGTTCGCGTTGCTTTTGCGTTTGAGCAAACATCGTGGTATACTACGATGTTCCTATTTGGAAGAGATGTGACAAACGTACGTGTTAGTCGTTGAGCCAGTCTTCATTGGGAAAATTCCTCCATCCTTTATTTCCTTCGGCCAATCGCGGCTCGCCTAGAAGCAAATGCAGTATCCCATTTTACGCGAATGAGGCGAAGCTGACGAAAGTGTTCGCGAGGCGAGTGCAAGCGCATGACGTCCATGACCGCACGACATCATCACTATACTCGGGGACCCTTGTGTTTGGCAGTGCCAGTTAAAGGCAATGCAGTTAAAGGTAATGCAGTTAAATGCAATCCAGTTAACGGTAGTGCAGTTAAAGACATTGCAGTTAAAGGTACTGCAGTGAATGGCAACACATGCTAAAGGTACTGCAGTTATTGGCAATGCCGACGTTCACAGTGGAGCCACCGAATAAGGTTCTCTAGTTCAAAGGCAGAACACTTCGGTGATCTTGGCGCATAATCATTGTTGCCAGTTATCTGAAGCCTTATCTGAAATGGCAGGAAACGGATATATGCTCGCCTTCGAGAAACGTTAAAAGAGTCCGCAACGGAGCAGAAGAATATCGCCCGAGCTTCATGACGCCGTATCTGCAGCTCGGAAAGTCGCGTTGTTGTTGTTTTTTTCTCGAATCGTAACGATGGTTATCGGCGCCGGCTTTGCACTGAGCACCAAGATGGCGGCGCCCACAAATGTCTGAAAACGAGGGGCGCTGACACTCTAAGCGTAGATCGTTGAGTGGCTCACGCATTGAAGTGAGGCCGATTGAGTCTCCTTATAGGCGGATCTATGTCGGTGTGGTTTTTTGTTCGGCTAAAACCGACACGTTCGCAGGCTACACTAGCACATTTCTTCGTGCCTTTTTTTAAATTTTATTATTATTATTTATTTTTATTTTTTTCAGATAGCGCGTGGCAAGAGAAGGGAACCCTCCCTCTCCGCCGCCTGGGCTGGGATGAAACTCTGTCGTCTAACGACGTCGTCGTCTCCGACTAAAAGCTTACGTCGGTGCCCCAACTCCGCGGGGGCACCGAATGCGGAAGAGCTCAAAAAAAAAAAAGAAAAACAGTTTTGTGCTTATATTAAAAAAAAAGTTTTAAAAAATTGACAAAGAATTTCTTTTTTCCGACTTCTTCAAAATTTCCGTTAGTTCTTTTCACCGAACGAAGCGTGCACTCACCAAAAAGGACAAAAAAAAAAAAAAAAAAAAAGAAACCCAACGGGGAATTTTCTTTGCATGCGGGTGAATGTACGGCGGATATCGGGGCCCGGGGCTCTGTCGGACCGGATCGCGGGGGGATGCGTTCGCGACCCAGGCGCGCTCCTTAGCGCTCCTTAGCGCTCCCAGCGTCGCCGGCGTAGAGATGGATATCAACGCGCCGGATCGTGAGCGCATCCCGGAGAAAGATAAATACGGGACGCCTCTTCCCTCCACCCGCACACGCTCCTGGCAGGGAAGGAGCGCCCGCACAGCCTCCTCTCCGCTTTTCCTGCATATCTTTATGTCGTCGTCGCTATTTTATGGACTTGGCTCTAGTGTTCTTATTTTTGCTTTATTTATTATGATTATTTTTTCTTTGCCGCGTTCGATTTTTTCTATCCGACGTCTTTCTCCGGTTCCGTAGCCTCGTCATTACGGTTTTTTTTTTTTTTTTTCATATAAAAATATATATATATATATATATATAATTTTTTTTTTTTTTTCGGAACAGTGGTTTTGCCGTGTCCGTAGCCCCGTTCTCGGTCTCTCCGCCGAGGCGGCCTCGGCCCGCGGCGCAGCGTGCCCCCACCCAGCAGCCCGCGTCGTGCGGTGATGTGTGCCGAGCGTCGCGGCGGGCTGAAGGACGGGACCGCCGTGTGCGCTTGGCGATCAACAGCGGGAAGCCTGGGGGCTCCAGCTCCGCGCTCTTTTGCCCCCTGCTCGGCGTCTCAACTCTTCCCTACTATAGTAGGAGAGAGTTGAGACGCCATTCGATCTCGCCCAGACCAGGGGTATGCCCCTGGTCTGAGCGAGATCGAATGTACGCGCCGAGAAAGTCTGGGGGACGAGGAGGCGAGAGGAGACGTCAGAACGGCCGAGCTCCGATTGGAACGATTAGTGGGTAGACCTAAAGCTAGCAGCCTTTGTCTCCTCTGCACTCATCGAACGCGTTACAACGCGGAACGCCGGCGTCCGGTGTTTGGCTTTCGCATACGAACGCGTTCGACGAGTGCAGTGGGGACAAAAAGGCTGCTAGCTTTATGTCTACCCACTAATTGTTCCAACCCGAGTTCGGCGTTCTGATGCCCCCCACCACCACACCCCACTTATGCCCCGAGAAAGTGAGGGAGAGGAGAAGACGAGAGCGCGCGGGCGCGGACGTCAGAACGACGAGCTCCGGTTGGAAGGATATCGTTATCATCGTTGTCGCAATAGATCGCCTAAAACGATCTATTGCATCTACCATTTTCGTATCCGTCAAGGCGTCTGCACGGAGAGCGCGGCCTCCGCTCGAGCATGCCGGCATCGTTTTTGTTTAATAGAGAAGAAATTTGGACGGCCGTCGGTATCTGCGAATGTTCTTGGTGGGAATCGAAATGGATTTCTTCGTGCGAGTCGCCCCACGATATATTCGAGTCCCACGCACGATCGTGTGCGATGCTCGCATATGACGTCACTGCATCATGCTGGTGGTCATCCTTACTCGTTGTTGCCGAGAAAAGCAAATTCTCCGGTTTTAGATGTAAGGCTGCAGCAGGCGCCTACCTTCCGTATAGCCTTACTTACATCTGCACCGAGTAAGAAGGCCGCGACAATGGCCTCGGATGTGACGTCACTAAGAGCCATGTACTGTTTGACCAACGGCATGGACCCGTCTTTGACCATGTTATTATTATTATTATTATTAAAACTCACTTTCGCTGAGCCTTAGGGTGAAAAAAGAAAAGAACTCGGCATCATTGGCTAAGGTTTCTGTTTGTTTGTTTAGGAATGCTCATGGCTCTACATTGAGTGCCAAAACATGAGTGGTTACGAAACGTCTAAAACCTACGTGGCCAATACTGAGGAAGTTCGTAAAATTGATTGAATGGAACTACATTAGTGCTTTTTCTGATGCCTCGGAGGGCAGTGCATACATGCGGGTGCTGGTGAGGGTGTTCTGCAAAAGCTGTAGCCCATGTAGATGCAGCATACCGTTTAGTCCGCTGATTGTTCGAGGTACATTTGGGCGCGTATTCAGAAAGATAAGTCGCGCTTATTCGTTCAAATGAGTGCAGGAAGTTCATCGAAGACTCTTTCTTGCGTCGCAGGATTACGCGTGAAAACGCCGAAGCGGAGGGATACAGCGTGCCGCCGATCAACGCGGCAACGTTCGTCCGCCTACCATCGCCTCAACAGACTGGGTGAGTGCTGCCGGAATCCCACGGGATGCCTTCGTTTCTGGGCTCGCCGTATTCCCTTCGGGAGACCCCTCCTCGGTCATGTAGTGCCGGGAATCGCGCCTCATCGATCGGTACACGTCGGGACAGACCCGCTCGCGTCTGGGGAGAGCTTCCTCGCGGTCACCCGCGTGCGGACCACATGTGATGCGAGTCGGCCGGCACCTCGCGACTCGGGAGCCGGCCTCCGAACAGCGGCTGCCGTCACTCGAAAACACAGCGCGCTCCGACGCCCCCTTTTTTCACCGGGCCGAAAACATTGCTTGCTCGGGCTGAAATCCCTGGCATGGTTTTCGCCGGCTTCCCCGCTGGAAAAAGAAGAGGCAGCGGAGATCGACCGACCACTTTGCAGCCGAGCAGCTCGAGTCAAAGCGGCTTATACGGCTCGATGCACGCTGGGACATGCCGCGCGAGCAATTTGGGTGACGCCGCGTCGTGAATATTTAAGGAACGCGTCTTGGCCACCGCGCGGCACGCGACGCCTCGCGCTGCCAGTGCGGGACCGAACCGACGGAGAGAGTCCCCGGGCCTCATTGTCGCGGCATTCCTTAGCTCGCGTCATCTTCTTGTGCCTCGAAACGGGCGCGCGTACACCGCCACTTGTTTGGTGAATACTCGAGAACTTTTGCGCCGACGCTTGCCAACTTGTTTTGCTTTATTATTATTATTATTTTTTTTTTATTTTTTTTTTAGTTTTGGCTTAGTGGTTTTGCAGCGCGTGGCACGCAACTTCGGAGCGGCCGCTCGTGCTCCGCACGATAATTGGCGGCAGCTCCAGTTCCCGGTTTTTGTTGCTCTAACGTGTCGGTTCAGACGTGTGGGTTGATTGCGTCTAGATTCACTAACTGAATAGGTTTCCAGAGTACCCAAAATTCCCGAGCTCCGCGTCGTGGCTCTCAAGTTCATCCATATTCGTGCAGACATTTAGAATTCTTGCGTCGCACACTGTATGCGGTAACTGTACGGATAGCGAGTCGTTGGTGTTGTCGACAGGGCTTTCAGGTAGGTGTATGGGCACTGTAGGGTACTAGATAGCCACCTTAAATTGCTTACGACATTACTTACATTCCAGTCTAGCTGCACTCGTGTAATCATTACTCCGCGGTTGACGTTAACAGTCGTACCGCACTGGTCAAATATCTCATATTGAAGTCAGTCACCGCTGAGCTGACTGTCTGAATAGCCAGACAGGCCTATAATTTACTGGACCAGGGTGGTCTGCACCCTGTTTCTGTTGCTGCGGCGAACTTTATCTCTTTGAGTCGGGCCACTTATTTCTGTTGTAACAGTGAGCCGCTGGTACTTTTTTGTTTACGTTTTTTGACCATGTAAAAGTTCGTCGTATAAACATCACGGCATTTCGTCGATTAATTTACAACTGCGTACAAGATGTACGTACACTATTGTTCAGGGACAGGATAGAATGAAACAGCCTCAAGCTATCGGGATTGCTTGACAATTTCTTTGTGGATCAAATGAAGCTTGCAGCGAACTCCAGGAATGCTTACCGCGTGAGGATGCTCAAGGCAGTTGGCAGTAGAACGCGGCCTCTGCGAATGGTTAATGCGTACAAACGGGACTAACGGTGAGTTAAGAGAATGGCTCTATCTGAAATTAATGATGTTTGTATCACCAATGATATTTGTATCATCATTGATGGTGCCTAATCAGAGAGATGCTTCTCTTTCACTCGGTGCATCAAGTGACATAAGACCGTGCTGTCAACTCTTCATTTGTGTTTTTATGCCACAAAAGAATAAAAACAACAAAGTAGCAAAAAAAAAAAAAAAAATCTCGGACGACAACGGTTTGAAGGCTCGTTCACATAAGGATGTTTGTTCTCATTGCGTTACGAGTCACACGGATATTCGTGCTTTCAATTTCGCGTGCAAAGGTACTCCTTACACTGTTTTTTTTTTTTTTTTTTTTTTTTTTTTTACGCTTTATACGAAGCGAATCAATTTGAATAGAAAGGTCCGCGATGGAATTCTTATTCCGAAGGAGCCGTTCTTCTGAGCATCGGTCGTGTCGAACGAAGCTCACTCGAAGCAGCCTAATCGGCTGCGAGGCGACGAGCGACATGTGGAGAAGTATAAATGCGCTCATTTCACAAAGCTGACTTCTTGCATTGGACTTGGAATTCTTTCGCTACATAATGGCTAGCCAAGTACTAGTCCTCCCGTTCGCAGACAGCGTTGTAGCCTCACGGGAAGTCTTTTATCGTTCTCTGACCTGCTCCATCGAGCGGAGGCACAGCAAGCAGGCATATACATATAGAGCCGCGAAACACACAACGCGTACGGCACTAAACGGCTGAGAAGAACCGACCCGGAGTTTTGCGGTAGAAGCCGCCTAGCTCTCCACAAAATGGCGACTGATGGCGGCGATTCGAAGCAATGATGATAGTATAGGGAGCGCCCACGTGTCACGTGACTTTTGCCGTCCAACGAAGTCGCAGCAAATCAAAATATACTCGGCTATTGTGAGTTTGTGGTCAGCAAAGCATTAAAGAATGGAAACTGGAGTGCTGTGGACGGAGTATTCAGTGACACTAGTTGCGTCCATCTGCGAAGTGTGTGTATGTGGGGGGGGGGGGGGGGGGGCGTGGTACATGCCGGTCGCGATTGTGCGAGCTGCAGCGACGGAGAAAGTGGGACCGCAGATGAACGTGGGCACGGTAGAAGCAAGCTCTCGCGAGCGGACCGCTCTTCCTGGTATTGTAACCGCACGTTGTGGACGTGAGGGCCATTACCCGCCCATGTTGCGATGCCGTGCCGTGCGTGGCTTCAAGATCGCAGGAACGCTGGGGCCCTCGGTATTTGTTTACCTTCGTCCGAACGATGCCTCACGAGCATTTGAGGCCACAAACACTGCGCATCTCTGGCTGTAGAGAAAGGGTATTTGACTGGCCAGTTAGCTCGCTGCTCTTATGGATGTCGTTGATGGAGGTTTACGAGCCTGGTTGCCGCAGGTGGACCGATGGCCGCCCCAGCTGTGCCTTGGCCAGCGGGCAGGTGGCAGCGCGGAGTTAAGATCACTTCCTATGTAGCGACTTGTTTGTTCGTTCGTTTTTTTTTTTTGGCGTTTCTTATTTTCTTAGCTTATTTGCGTGTAATACGTATTTGTCTGCATGTCTACCTTGAGTGGCCCTGTATAAGACAAGGAAAAATGTCTCTTAATTTTTTTTTTCCTTCATTCACATGCTATTGACACGCAGCAGGGTCACTGATGTTGACTTTGAGCGCCGCGAGTCCTGTCTGAGTCTGGCAACGCAGCCTTCGATCAATACCACCCGGACCAGTTTCTTTCACATGGCGCAGAAGGGCGAATGTGCAGTACGTGAGAGGCGAGGGGACTCAAGTGTTGGTTGAAGCAAATTCTGTGCCACCACGTGGGTGGATCCAGGTGCTTCGCAGACTCCCAAACTCCTTCTTTTGACCAAATTCCCTCGCAGATTCTGTATTCTGTGACGTTAGACAGAAGTTCCCCGACGTCCAGCGAGAGGTGGACATCGCCGCCGCCCCGCGTTTCACAGTTTGTAAGCTCTGTTAGTTTTTTTGTTTTTTTTTTTCATTTTTTTCTTATTTTGTTTTAATTTAAAAAGAAATGTTTTTTCAATCGCTTACATCTCTAGTCTCCCCACGACGAGCAGAGCGTTACCGCGCGGCGGCGCCAACATGCACGCTGTTTCCGCTTCGACGTGTTGGGCGCTTAGGCGCGGGTCGGCGAACCACTAGCGATGACGGAATTGTGGAGGCCTTGTCTTCGTGACCTGGGTGCTCGATGGAGGTAGCATTCCCGAGTCAGAGCAGGACTCGACGAACCGCAACGGAGAGTTATCCTATCCGACCCAACGTTATGCCAACCCTAGGCTGGGCCTATGCCGCGGGTCAAGTAACACAGCGCATCGGATTGGCTTGTAGCTGGCTTGTCCGCCGCGGTCCATAGTGCGGTGAAGCGGAGTCGGTGGATATTTCGTTGGCACGTGCCCGACACGCCGCTCTGAACACGTCGTCGTTCCGCTCTCCGTCCTGAGCATGCAGCATCAGTGGGTTCCGCGGACTCCGCGCCCTCTCCCTGTGCTGGTGCCTGGAACTCCCGCCCTCGCGGATGCTCACTCTTCCTTCTCCCGACTCGCTGGAAAAGAGCGATGAAACAAATTTCAGGAGGCCTTAAACCTAACAAGTGCGTCTCCGAGCACGTGTTTTGCGGCTCGCGCTTGAAAGCTTCAATAGACCCAAGGTCGGAACCACTCAACGAGGTAAAGGGGCTTATAGCGATAAGCTGGTATCCCGTTCACCAGGCAAAAGTGACCCCCACCTGGCTGCCGCCATGTTGTACAATTTTGACCACTAGACACATGACCGTACCAAATCCTGAAGCTTTTACGCAAAACTGAGCCGAAGTTTGTATTGCGATCGCTGTAAAAAACCTGTAAAAGTATTTTTTTCAATACTGTTAACCCCAGAGATCAGTGTATATAGCTCCGATAAAAAACCCAAATACAGTACCGTGGCTGACGGCATCTAGCGGAGGCATTGCGAAGCTCCCCGAGTTTTTGTCGTAAAAGCGAGTTCTGGACTTAAAACAAACGAAACATAACTTATCTCGTCGGTACATTTATTAAAGATGAATAAGCATTTATTTGTGCGTGGTACTTTGTCGAAATCTAGGCGTAAAACTATAAGGTCACGTGTTAAATGGTCAAAAATGTGCAACATGGCGGCAGCCAATTGGGGGTCACTTTCAGTTGCCAGTTTATCGTTGGTTGTGACCACGGTGGTCGTGACGCTGCGGTTTTAGTCCGCTGAAAGGATCGACGAGGGCTCCGCGGATGGGCCGTTAGCACCAGAGGGACTTGGCTGGTAGGAAAGCGTTGGGCGTAAACACTTCCCGTGGTGGGCTACCTCGAGAGTCTGGCGTACTTTATGACGCGAGGCTCGGAACGCGCGTTCTCTGCCGAG